GAACGCCACTGACATCCATTAGCCGCCATTTCTTGCAAAGTCTCCAGCCAAGCACAGACGGGGTCACGGGGACCCCATCCTGGGAGGCGTACAACACCAACAACACCCAAACTCTCATCTCTCTCTTTGACGCCTTTCTGCCAAGTCATGTGCTGTCCACCTCGTGCAAACCGTGAGGCATCTTCGGATCAACCTCGAGAGTGCGAGACAGCCTTGGATCAAGGTCAGAGGGTGCTCCTGAATATATAACGTGAGGCCGTTGTACTTTAGCTTGTTCTCGCTTGCTCTCAATAAAGCGGTTGTGTTCTTTGTCGGTGAGTCCTTTATCCTTCACAACCTACTGAAGTGGGGACAGCAATCAGACATCAGCAGCACTAGTCAGCTATCAGCGAAGAAACTGTTGTAGAAAGCTGATACATGCCTGTGAAGCCGAGCTAGTCTAGTGTTTAAAATTAAGGTTACATTTGTAGTCACAATTTTGTTTTTAATTGACCCTAGGTGCAAACTGATCAGGTACAAAACATTACTACGTGTTTTCCTGCTTCTGAAAGAACTAAGTGAAATTACAGGTCAAGGATCAATGCACTCAGGCAAGTCAAAACCAGGGTCTTATCAAATTAACTATCTACTGACATGCTTGAGTGAATAATGTTCGATAGAACTCAGACAGATTTTCAGTTTGTCACGTTCACCCCACCGAATGGTTACAAAATGCTCCACTGATATAGAACAAACGCCTGTCTACTCCGAGAGGCGAGAGTAACGCCGCATTGACCGTGAAGAATGAGAAGAGGAGAAACTGCATCCCGTTTGTGAGGTGAGTACAAATTCTGTGGTAGATACCAATAATAGGAAGCATCGTCTGAGACCTTTTTTATGAGATCGGGATAGTCGAGCTGTGAAAGTGAGAAGCAACTAACCGGAAAGTCCCTGGTCTAATTCCGACTCTGAGTTTTCGACGGATCTACGCATGATCAACCCGTTAGGCCCGGTGGTTTCTCCAGGTTGCATGATGCTATTCACTGAGGTGACTTGATTTTACCGAAGCGATTTGACGTGGTGTTATCACCGCGTAGTCGTTGTTTACTATTAATCACTCAAAACATATTTAAAACTTGTAAATGCGGGACATCTTTGAGTGAGTTGCAAATCTAAGATGATTTAAGTAGCCAGTATCACATAAATCCTCTAGCTTTAAAGAGCAGACGACCTGACAAGACTAAAAACCAAGATAGGCGCTTTTTCAAAGATATTCAGTTTATGTTTAACCCCTTGAAAGTGACGAGATGGTCCAAGTGGTCTGCGGTCTCCCCAGTGAAAAGTCCCCTGACACCCCTAACCGAATCTACTGACCGGAAGGTCCGTGGTTCGAACCCGACCTCTGCCTTTGACTTCCCCTGTCTAGGCTTGGGCAACCTGGCACTATCCCAGCCCTTGTGCTTCCTTTAGACGGCATAGCAGTTAGGCACCGAAAGGCTGTTGCAACAGAACTATTATTACTTCTTATCTTGTCTTGAAAGATATATAAAGATGATCTATCCGCTCACATCACGAAGATATTGAATGTATGTCAACCCATCAAGACTTCCGCTGAATATTCCCATGTCATGTTTGTTTTACTGAATTTCAAGCTATCAATGAACTTTGAATCTAAAGGGTATGTAAGCAATTCAAATCAGTGGAGACAAATATGCTGACTGACTTGGCGCTAATTGATGGGGTGTTTGGCAAAACCAACTCCAAAGCTAACCATGTCCGTTCTTCAACCAATGCTTCAAATGTAACCGCCGTTTCCATCAAGCGTTGTTCCGTTTGGGTGAAACGACGTCAAGCTTTTATCGTGCTACGAATATTCTCAGAACAGTGCGCAACATGAAACCTGACGCGGAAACAACGAAAACTAGGCGATTGTAGAGGGTGTTGGTTTTTTAGTGCAAAAGACGGAAAGTTTCAAACAAGCGCCTCAGGGCCACAAAATGTGCAGGTTTCCACATTTGTGTTGAGATGTCTAAATTATACCGTATTTGCCTCCATCGGGAAAAATTTATATTTTATTCCGACGAAAAGACCAAGTCATTCGTTTACCACAACCAGCCCCATTGATAAACCATATGTCGGTTTATGTAGGATCGGGATTCGAACCCTTTTAGCAGCAGATAGTACCACGTTTGTCGTGCATCGTTTTTTTTTCGTTGAGTCTCGTGAACCGAGTGTGTCTCCCTTGCCTTAGTATCCTGCTGCCCACGGGAACATTATATGCGTGTTTTTCTGACTGTTCTCAGGGGTCCTCATGGGATGAGTCAGCGTATGGAGTCACAATTCTTATAGACAAACCAATATTTCTATGTGAGTGCTTTTGAAATCAGTTTGTCTGTAGGAAACGGTGTGCTGTTGGCTGCATCCCGTCGGAGTTTCACTGAAGAATTTCCTGGATGCTCTTCGTGGTCATCCAAGGTTACTGGAAACTGAGCACGAAGATACCAAATAGAGGTGGCTTGGTGTTTTATAATCAGTCAAAAGGTAGGCTTGCTGTCCAGAAGGTGCTCTGTGATCCTCCATATTTGAAGCCCTGGTGCCTTACTAGTCAGCAAACAAATTTTAGAGCAAAGTTAGGAGCAAAGTCCTATCCCGTGGGATCACTATCTATGGAGATTGGTGCTTCAGAGCTTCTAGAAAACTATCTGCAAAGCACGGAAGAGAATGGAAAATTAGCACTAACAAAAGCAAAAAGACGCCTTTTTATTCAGAATCCTATTTTTGTGGGTGGTGGACATCACGTAACAACTCACAGTCAATCTCTACGTGTTGATAATTAACAACTACTTCATGCGTTGGGTCAGTTAAATACAAGGGTGGCAACACTTTGATACGTATTTTACACAAATACAGACATGCAGACCTTCAAAAATCCTGGAAAACGTTATATTTTCATCTGGATTGTTCACATTGAAGGGCAGAATCACAAAGCTGTGACAGATTTTAAAGATGCATGCAAAATAAATGCTGCCCTTTGCATCCACTTTGGAACTCTTGGATAACATTTCTCATCCCATCAAAAACCAACCTAATGTTCTGAGTATGTTGTGCAAATACACATGAAAATTATCAAAACTATATTAGACATTGCTTTGAGGGTTATTTCGCAAACAGCTGGAAGATTTACGTTGAACGAGAATGGGGAAATTGCATGGGGGATCGGTGACATAAACGGTTTTTCGCAAATTCCATGCGGATTTTTCAGTATCCAAAATTTTGTCCATCAAACAAAGGTGCGCGGGCCCAGGTGTTTTATTGCTAGAGTCAAATACGGTCAACCAAATGGGTTGAAATTCAACACACACCAAATGGATAAAAATTTTCAACAATTTTTCATCTGACTATCCATCACCTGTTGTGCCCTCCATTCACGGTGTGAAAATGCAAACCTTTTGTACACGAGACTTCAAGAACCTACAATTTATCTAACATGCAGCTGCACTAATGCGTGACCAAGTACGTAAAAGAATTGAGTGTCAAACTGACCGCCCGTTTGTTAATTTATCAATCTTATCCCGTTTCTCAATTTGAATATGCCGCTGACAGTTTCAGAATGAAAAAGCCTCAAGTGCGAAGAAGTATGAAGACAAATGATGTTCTAAAACGGAAGAAGGAAATGCGGACTTTTCACATTATAGGAAAACGAATGAAATATAACCCATTTCATTCTGGATTCGGATAGTCCAAGGGTGAACTGTAACGATGAGTGACAATCCAAACATATATATCAAATAAGTCTTCATTTTTCATAACAAACAGAAAAGTATTCTGATAATTTTGGTCAGATATTTTTAGCGAATTTAGATCTAACCCGTTCTTATGAATGAACGGTCAAGAGAACTCACACTATACCATCGCTTCTTCAAGCCATCAGCTCTAATTTCACACTAATGGGTAACGAATAAGCCGTCTTTCTATACAGAATATGCTCCTATGCATCAGACGACAGAATTTGCCTGTCACATTCCAAACGCAAAATATGTGCAAATTATTTTTCCGATTTAACTCATGTCTCGTTATGAATAAATGAGGGGAAATGTTTTACCTGTGTTAGAGTTCAAAGGTTTCAGTATAGCAAGACCTTGTGGAATGCATGATGCCATTTTAAAATGTGCACCCAACTGCCTTTGGACTCGAGTAAAAATGAGAATATATTTCCAACCGGGAGATCTGAAAATTCATGTCGGAGTATACGCGCTGGTGCTCACTACCATACATCACTACAAACATCAGCTTTGACACTGATGCTTCTTTGCCGCACACCATAGACTTTACCTAAATATATCTAAATACTCAGAATGAAAAGGAGAGAAAAGAATGGGTGAAAGAGGGGACCTGACCTAGGCCTACCACAAGCATTCCAAGGTACTACACCTACGAATGTTTCACGAAAAAATCTGGAAAGAAACTGGAAACACACACTCCGCTGATGTTGATCAATCGCCATTTCTTACAATGATTACAACCAAGCGCGGGTGACGTCACAAAGACCTCATCCTGGAAGACGTACTGCACCGATAACAACAAAACACTTTGTAATCTCTTTCACACCATTCTGCCAGGTTATACGTTGTCCACATCGCGGTTTATGCCATTCTGAAAGAGGCACGGAGAATAACACTCGTTTCGGCAGAAGGTGTTTCCTAATGCCGAACGCAAAGTCAAGCCATCGTATTTGGTTCTGTAGGTCTCCTGTGAGTAAAGCATCTGATACTCATTTTCTAATCACCTAGTTAAGAATTCTTTGACGCCATACGACAGGGGAAAATCTTCTGAGGCACAGGTGTTCAAAAACCTGAAGAGACCGTACACCATTTGTCAGCAGGATCCATGGTTCGAAGCCATAAAACAACATAACTCAAACTGTAGTCTGGTACACGCAACATTTAAGACCCTTCTGACATCACAGGTGACGCAAATTAACAAGCATGCCTCTGGCATTTGAGATTCTCGGACCGACTTGATTATACACATTCCCTTCAGAGCTGCTACAACTGCCGAGGTATGAGAATTTCTCCACAACATCCAGTGATTCTCACTGACGTGTAAGGTGTATTTTTGGAGACTGCACGTTCTGAAGCGTGACTGTGCATTTTGAAGGTGTAAGATACGTGCCAGATGGTTTGTTGATGGTCACACTGTCAATTGTGGCATAAGCAGACATGATAAACGGGGTGCAATGGACCTCACTCTCACAAGATTCTCTCACAGACGTTGCAAGACAAACGCACAGAAGCGATTAACAAAGAGATTCGATCGATTAGAGACCTTTTTACTCAGTCACTCAATACAATACCAACTCATCATCCCAAGCTATAGCGGTTTCTACACAACCAGGTTTGTGCAGCCGGAAACTGGAAGAAAGCAAAATACCTGTCAGTTCAAACACAGTAACTGAAGCCTATATTCTTCCTTCTGACAAACAGCATATACATCAATGCAGATGGGGTTTCTTTTCTACACAACCAGGTTTGTGCAGCCGGAAACTGGAAGAAAGCGAAATACCTGTCAGTTCAAACACAGTGACTGAAGCCTATATTCTTTCTTCTGACAAACAGCATATATATCAGTGAAGATGAAATCCAGCGTGCCATCCGTTGTCCTGCTTGCTTCAGTGGGAAAACATTAAAGGTAGCTAAGTAAAAAGGTTTTTGGATTTTGAAACCAGACTTTGAAGTTTTAAGGGTTGTTACTGAGGTCCGACGTATAGAAGCTTCAGCTGAGTGTGATGCACGGCTAGCAAAACGGTCACTTCTGGTGCTGGGACCTACGGAGACAGCATTCGAATTCGGGTGAGATAGGGTAGAACAGGGAAAACGTGAGTGTATAAGAAAGAAGGTGTCAGCACTAGCATGCTTTCGCTTAGCGAACTTGCTGTATGCAGGAATTAATGTGACCTTGCTGGCCCGAGAGTGACATGAGAGTGCTGTGAGTTGTAAGTGTCATTGTTGTACGTGGAATGAGATAATATCAGGGTACTTAGATCTAGACGAGGGGACGATTAATTCCCTCAACCAATGCCTAACCGCAAGGCAGCAGTGTTTGGATAGAAATGCGGGCACATTTCTACGGAACATGTCGCCACACATGTTTTAACCCCCAACCTGGAGAACTAGGAGACTTTGTTGGTCAGGTCTCTTACCATTGACCCATCAGGTGATTTTCGCACGAACATCACTCAGTATAGCTCAGTGGGTCACGGAGGCACAAAAACAGTCATACCAGGGTGAGGTTCGGTCTCTTTTTGGTGGCCATAACAGTCTATAATATTGAGTATTAGAAAATAAACGGTGCAGAAGGTAGTGCGTCGTGCAAGCATTCGTCTCTTCTGTACAGCGTCGAGAATACGGTCTAATAAATAGAATTTGTCATTTTTAGTTGAGCTCCTTTCAACCATTTGGTTAGAATCGCGAGTTTTATATTGGGTTAAAAAGTCTAATATTGATATGTCTTCATAAGGATGTATAAAACGCTCATGAAGAGAGGATTCAGCTAATATTCGACCTTGTTTCCCTTCGTCAGTAGGTGAACTGCTCCGTGATGTCTAAGTGTTCAGTTCTATGATGCTCAGTGTTCGCTAATAGGATTCCATCACAATGAATGTAATGACATATTTATTGCACGTAATTCGAGGTCATCAGCTCATCGTGAATAAATCATGGTTTATTGCCAGCCTGTTTATCATCATGTTGATCCAGTGCCTGTCCGCCATTTTTCTGGACCAATTTACCACTCGTGTAGTCTATGGCGAAGCAGGTTTTTACAACTACACCGCACTGAGGAACACTTTATGGCAATTATTACGAAAGAAAAGCTTCCAGCACCGTAGGTCTATCGTGGGACACCATTCGCAGTGTGTATTGCAAGGTTAGTCCATAAGAGAGAAATAAAACAATTTCATATAGTCGCGAAAAACAGCCGGCACAAAACCTGCAGGAGAAAACGCTCGTAGAGCATCTTATGTTTTCACTTTTAGCTGAAAAAATGTTTAGAAAATCTAAGTAAAGTTCTGCTTCCGAACAACGTCGATCGCCTAAAAAGTCCAGGATGACCTCAAACGCGTGGGCGAATATTTCCAAGAGCTTTGTGCACTTTAACGTCAGCTAACAAACCGTCCCATATTCCGAAAATGGCCGAGCATCGTGGTGTAATAACAGGCTGACGACGCATTTGAAGCGAATGCTTGGGGACGATACCGTTCCAGTGCAGGTCGACTGAAAATGTCTCCTATTATCCCAACCCGTTACAGCATCGCACTGTTAGTTTACTCCCTAGTGAGAAATTCACAGGAACATCTGAGCAAGCTGGTAAGTAATCGTGTCGCGCGTAAAATTATAGGAAGCTGAGTTTCTAAAGAACCGGCTACCAGTGACCCGGATTTCACCTGCTTCCTGCTAGAAAGACAAAAAATTTGAACTGGTAGTGGGACCATTAAATTTCCCGAAGATTTGAAAAATGCTCACAGTATTTTAGTTGTAGTACACAGTGTCTGTCATTTCGATTGATTCATATGCAAGTATTAGTGATGTACAACTTTGCTTACTGGGCTCTGGCTCATGAGCTGTGTTTCTGTTTTCCATCCACAGAAATTGTCGCGAACACCTGCCTTCGGAGAATCACTGTCCCCTGGTGCTTCCATAGCGTGCATATCACATAACTGGCGACTACGCCAGAATGGTTACCACACATTAGTTGACCTAACACAAAGATCATGGCTCTACATATGTGCATACAGGCCTCAGAGCTAGCACGCTGCTCACTCACACACGGTAGACGCAGCCCCAGATACAGCAACCCCTCCACACGCTCACCAGCTTCACGCATTCACTAGCACCGGCCAGTTCACGTAGGCTATGGTACACTGGGGACAGTGTTCTTCAAAAAGGAGGCCAGTGTAGTATACGGTGTCCGTCAGTTTGATTGATTCGTATGTAAGTATTGGTGATGTACAACCTTGCTTACTGGGCTTTGGCTCATGAGCTGTGTTTCTGTTTTCCATCCACAGAAATTGTCGCGAACACCTGCCTTCAGGGAATCACTGTCCCTTGGTGCTTCCATAGCGTGCATATTACATAGTGATTAACTACCCTCATTGCTTTTCATTAACGTATGGCCGACTGGGGAATCTCAAGCAACTTCTAAAGTGCATGTAACCATGAACGCTAGTTGTTGTTTCCGTCCACGGAACTTTTCGGCGAAAAACATCCTTTTTGGTTGACTGAATAACAGCGTCTGACAGATAAATATTTTGAAGAACGGTGGAAATGACAGCGGTAACCGATTGTCGAATAACCATGCTATTAGAATGTCAGTCAAGCCTTCCCTCTAAAGACGCCGGATTATTTGATTAACAGTAGGTGTTGAGAAAAACAAGCAACGGTCAGAAGGCCTAAAACTGGTTTACGGATAGAAAGTTTGTATTGAATACTAGGTAGGCGTATTCCAAATCTTATTTGCTGTTGCTCTATTAAATCTCTCACAGGGATTCCAATTTTTCGTAAATTAGTCTTGTACTGAACTGTTGTGCTATTTTTCTAAATAATAGCTCTGCTGCTGGTGATGCTGGCCAATGTTATGGTTTTACCGACAGCATATATATATATATATATATATATATATATATAGAGAGAGAGAGAGAGAGAGAGAGAATTAAAATTACAGTTACGAAAATGGGGAAATAAAAGCACAAAAATATCGAATTGATGGCCTGAGGCGGAGCGCCAAAGCACAAATTGCACTCATTTCGGAGAATTCAGGAAAAATTGTCGGAAATCAGGTTTTCAGTTGTGACAACAGAAACCGCGCCGAACAGATTTGTGATTTATTTAGGAACCGCGTCCTAGATTTGCGGTTGTGGTTTTAATTTTCCTCAATGATGAATGTGTTTTGCACTGATGAAATCACATATGGCGGATAAAAATATTTATGGATCCGAATTTCCCGAGCCTGCCATTTCAACCAGGTATGTGTCTAGGCTGAATTTGTCGTTTAGTTTTATATTTATTGCTTTTTTGCGTGTGCGTAAGTAGGTCAGGATATATTTTACCGCCATTCAGGGTAGTTTGAAAGTCATAAGAAATATTGGCGAATTGGTTGTTGGGTGTTCTTCTGCGCTAAGCAGATGGATTGCATTTGAGCTGCCTAGTTCGTCGAGTAGACTGCACACGAGTCAGCTTAACCAAGTCGCCGATACTAATGGATTGTTTCTAAACTAGTCACTCTACTGAAGGATAATCATCAACTAGTGAGCTGTTACGTCCACAAGATGTAGTCAGGGCAAACTCAAAAACCGGTGTTTACCGTCGGTTCAGCTATGCAGCGTGTTTTTTGAATCCGCTAGCCTAAGCATTAAGAATTAAGTATATAGGTGATGGCGGGCGGTCAACAAGCTTTTCCATCTATACCGCTTTGAATCGCCTTACCTCAGGCTGAAGTCGTATGAAATAATTTTTCATCAGCGCCTTCCATTTTTGGTATGTCCCACATAAAAATGACTACCAGAACTCTTGTCATTTTTGCTCGAGGAAATGGATCTCCAAATAAATTTTGTACAGCTTTTTCTGAATATCATCTACATACAAACTGGGTGTAAAAACGAGTGAATTGTCCAACACGCTTCATATTCGCATTGAGACATCTCCACCATCTGATCCCATCAAAGTCACTTTGCTCGTTTCCGCTAAACTTCTTGAGTGGCGGTCTCAGCACCTCGATAAGCATGTCACCAGGTCTCCAAGTGACATAAGAGCCCCGAAATTAAGCCACTTGCCTCACGGACCCCTTCAGAGTCCGGTTCCTCGATGTGCCTGATTTGACCGGTCTCATAAACTGGTGCAAAAGAATTAGTGATCATTCCAAGTGGGAACTTTAAATTGGCACTTTTCCCTTCAGTTCAGCAGTTTTTTGGGAAACGTAGCGGCAATTATTCTAATTTTTACTCACAGATCCATGAAGATTTGTTGCACGGTTTTCGAAGTTCAAAATGCTCCAATTTCTCGTTTTTTAGCTTTTCGACAATATTTGAATAAATGGACTGCAGTTTCCTTGTGACTGTGCGGTCGCAAACCTCCGAAATTCTAACAATATTCCAAGTTGTTGATGATAATTTCATGCACTCCATTTTTATGATAGTTTGGTCACTCATTTACTAAGTAACCTGCAAGTTTTTGTGAATAGTGTGGGCAACGAGGAAAGTTAGCATACGACACTGCTTCAGACATTACTGGTCAGTTTAAACTTTTCCGAGATCTTATTTATTGTTGATACAACAAACTCTGACAAGGTATATATTACTCAGAAAACTTAGTTGAAATGGAAGTATTTCGTTCCGAATATCATTTTCTTGCCAATTTTTTGCGGTCTGGTTCATACACATCATACAAAATGCAGATCTGTACAACCAATTTCGGAATGAATCCGTAACAAAAATTACCAAAAATCAACAAAATTACCGAATTACCAAAAACTACCAAATTAGTTTGCATAAGAGTGTATATTCGCTATTTCGTGCAATTTGGTTTCAAGTAAAACATAAGGTTGACGGAAGCCCGGGGACTGCGCCTACCTGATGAGCCCCAAGAAGGACGAAACCGGTCGTGGGTTGTCGGCGGATTTTCAGCAACCTTATAAGTAGTACGTCACGAAGATATACATGTATCGCGATATCTCGAATATCGTAGTGACTGAAACATGAGGTGGCCTGGTGCAACACATTCAGTTGCCTGAGAATACCACAAACGGGAGATTCAGCTGGGTTCCAGGTGAGTATCTCGAAAAACCGAATTAGTTTGCAAATGAATCCGCTGAATCCGTACCCAGTTTGTAGGTTCACAAACCTAAGTTGGCGGATGAGTTACGATACACTGAGTACTGGAGAGATCAGACTCTGAGATGGTTACTTGGAACTGACTCTTGAGCCACGGCTAGTAACTCACTGTGTTCGTTGTTCACTTTGCGCTGTGGATGGATTGAACTCGCTAGGAGATGTGGAATTAAGAGACTAAGGTTTGAGTATGAATTTCGCTAGTGTGTGCAACTGCCTCCACAATATAACGAATGTAGAATACAAAGTGAAGAAAACTGATGACTACCTGATTCATTCTTTTCAAGTCTCTGATATGTCGCTCCCTCATGATTCGCAAACTTCAAGGACACTGTTCCGGTTGATATCCATGCTACCAAGTTGGACAGGGTCAAATCTATTAAATGTATAGTGTGATATCTGGAATTCATGATTAGAAAAACGCGAATTGCTAGATCGTACTCTGCTAATGCTCTCCACCCCAGTATATAAAAGAGGTAGCTGCAGCCAGAATTAGAGACCCGAGCCAGCCTGAACAAATGCCACTTTGCTAGACTTCGTAGTCCATAAGCTGAATTCCATCCATCCACAGATTGAAAACAGGAAGAGATAAACCTGTGTTAACTCCGGTTGCAACAAAAGACAGATGGGATGCTCCTGAAAAAGCCGTGTTGTGCGAATAGTCTAACATGCATGCATTCCCATCTTACTATCCCAGTCGTTATTCCTTCGATCATCGAGCTACCTTTGAGAACAAGTTTTATTTTAGCTTGACTTGTGATGTTAATTTCTTCTCCTCAAGCATTCTTGCAAACACGTTCCCCGGATTGTTAGCTCTGCGGATCTGCAGAGTATCATTCAATTCACTTTATTGCATCAAACGGGTTGAACCGTTCATCTAACCTTGCGTCACTGCAGTGTTCTCAGAATGACACCATTTCCTTTAACAAGTAAAAAATTATGGGACCAACTTGAATAGAAAAGCAAGACTATAAGATTTAAGAATATATGCGGGGGAGAGAGTGCCCCAATTTATTAGTGATCTCGTCAGAGACAGGAACTTTGTCACTACTTATAATTCTGAAAGGATATTTGAATTTAAAATAGTCTAAAAATCCTTCCGCAAGTGTCTGCTGCTGAACTAATTTTACGGTAGATCAACTCGGACTGATGAAACCGAATACATCTTGAGAGACGTGCTCAAGGATTCTGAGGTTTTCATAGTCCTAGAGGTTGAGATAGCCTTGTGGATCCGACGGTCCACACAGAGTGACCTCTAAGATGCAGAATGTTATACAGAATGGAGATCACTTGATGCCTACGATGACGTTACTCTGGTCGTAACAAAGATACTTTCATCAGAAAGTATTTGAAAAATCCGATAAAGCCATATTCTTACTGAGCAGTAAAAACTCATATTGAGTCACTACGGAACGGCGATACTGTACTGTGCGAACTTTGATGAACAAAGGGATCAACCACGAAGATTACAAATGAGCAACTTTCATCGAAAAGGTAGCCGCTTCCCAAAACTCTTCACCGCTGAATTACACAACCCCTAATACAACTAATACTTCTGCCAGACGACCAGTATAAAACGCGGAAAGTCTCTGCCTAATGATGTGAGACCAAGTTTTAAAGGAAATGGAATGTCAAGATTCTCAAAACGTTTGCAACCTGGTGGGTGAACTTATTCCGTATGGTGTCTTTTTGGGGCCATATGTTGTTGAGAAGCATCTGTTCTGAGAGTAGTGGTTCTCACACGACTAGATCAATCTTGAGTGTGAAAATAAATATTCCGGTTCAGTAAGCACCTGTTTTGTTTCACACGCACTGCGCCAAGGACTGAGAGAAATGGAACGTCTCACAAAGTGTCATCACAAGCTGGCATGTCCGATTTCGAGTTCCTGGAAAAATCCTACATTCGTTTTTGTAATAAACAAAACTCATTCTAGTGAACGTCATTTCGGCAAAGTGTCACGCGGACAATCCTCCGACTTGGGTCAATCACTTCGTCGGACGATACTTTGTTACTTCGGGCGGAAGTGGAAAGTAGGAAACAGAAAAACGGTTAATCAGAAACGCATTCGTCTGTTTTCGCAGCAAATAAGCTAAGCCTTGCAAATGTCTGTTTATGCTTATGCTAGTATGAAATACATTTCACAGACTAGTTCAGTTCTTCAACTGTGAGTGGCACTGGCGGTTTAGATGGCAGAGTTTCTCGTGTGGATAATCTGTAAACTGTTATCAAATTTAAACTTTACCAACCCTAGCGGAATACATTCATTTGCAAACTAATTTGGTTTTTCGAGACGCTTACCTAGAACCCAGCTGAATCCCTCGTTTGTTGTGATGTTTCAGGGCAACTGAATGTGCTGCACCAAGCCACCTCATGTTTCAGTCGCTACGGTATTCGAGATTTCGCGATACATGTATATTCGTAATGCGCTACTCATAAGGTTGCAGTCAACGAATTTTCAGCAACCTTATGGGTAGTGCATTACGAATTTACCAACCCTGGTCTATCGTTTAAGACCTAAGCTATACACAGCAAAATAGTACAGATATTCTCCTAAGTGATGATTAAAGCCAAACTGACAATGCAGTTGCAATAGATTCGAATCAACCGGTCAGATTTTCAACTGATAAACCTTAAAACTATTCCAAATACCTGGTAACAGACTACGGCTTAAGAAGCCGGAGAACCAGCCAGCTCACTTGATTCACAACGTTAATCTCGGTGGCACAGGGTTTTGTTTTAATGTGTGTAAAACCGGCTTTACTTTTTCACTTGAAGTAATCGGCATCACAATTCCTCATTCGGAATTTTGATCTTATTGGCTCAGTGACAATGAGTATTGGCTGATAAGGTGCCTTGGACAAATTTGAAAAACCAGATGATTCTGATCACGTGACGCTGGCTGCTTTCGATGGTAAGTGGACTGAATTATGCCTGGGTTCGTACTCATTTCTAATACTTTAGTTTTTCAGTATATCACAAGCCCGCCGTGTCTTGAAAGTAGCGCATTTCAGTATTTTCTTGTTTTGTCAATCAGCCACCCAATCTATCAACAACGAGATACTTTGTAGAAGAAAGGATCGAGATAAGATGTATAGCAAACTCGAATCCATCTTGACTGATATATCTGTGGGCCAGGTTGGACGTATATTATCAAAAAAGGACCCAGGAAGCCGTTGTCTCCAGTATGAAGAATGCACAGATATTATTCACGCAGTCACTTGAAAGTTACAACGCAAAATTAGAGAATCGTATTTTTGAAAGTAATACTCAGTAAACAAAGTGATGCGTGGTTACTGAGAATCGTCTTCAGAAAGCCCATACGGACGAAAATATAATGGAAATATACTGCGATATCTCGAATATCGTGCCAACTGAAACATGAGGCAGCACATTCAGTTGTAAAACATTATAAACAGAGATTCAGTTGAGTCTCTCGTGAAAACCAAATTGATTTGCAAATGAGTATACTTTTCAATACCGTCCTATTTGGGTTAAAGTAGAACATAAGGTTGATGGAAACCTGGGGACTGCACCTACCTGATGAGCCCCAAGAAGGGCGAAACCGGTCGTGGGCAGTCGAAGAGTTTTCAGCAACCTTGTGAGCAGTTTCCCTCACGTTCCAAAAAAACATCTCACTGGCCGGACGGGGATACGTCCCAGTTACGGCCTTGTTTTGTAGATTGTACCTCATTGACACCTTAGGTGAACTACAGGGATGGTTCAACTATTCACAGCAACCGGGCAGAGACAGCGATCCACAGATATAGGCAACTACTGTGTATCTCAAGGAAAACCTGGGGTAGTGCCGGACTTGCCATTCAAGAGAGATAATATACTTCAGTGTAAGCTACACTAAATCAGATCGGTGATAAATTATTAGTGATCGAAGGAAACACGCCTTTCCACAACCGGTTAGAGAAGGACGACGCATCTTCAGTCACGAAATCCAAACTTATCCACCAGCTGTATTATACCTGCGGATCTGTATGCATTCAAAGAACAGTCACGGGTCAGAAACCAAATAGCAATGCCTCAAACAGCTCCAAGAATCTGTATTCCAATAGCCAAATTCTGACATGGGCAGATACGTTTTGCAAAACGGCTATGCTATTGGCCCAGCAAGTGCTTTGAGAGTCAAATTACAATCATAAAATTAGATCTGCTGAAGGTGCCACGGCACAGTATGCTACATAGTTGCATGTAGCAGCGCTGCATCATCTTGGTAGATTTAGTCACTGGGTTTTATGACACCGTTGCTTAGTTGCTCCTTGTACGTAAGCCGCTTTGTGTTCAGTTTATTATCGATCACTCTGATCCTATTTCTAATCGGTTTTCAATTGCGTGTATTCAATTCCAATCGTCACGTGTGTTTATTCGTTTGCTCTCACCGCTTTAGCCAGTTTGGTTACCCCACCCAAATGACATGAACTTCTGAACCTTGTACGAGCGCCGCCCTATTAATAATGACTACTGAGTAGCACTCAACGTGCATCCTAGTTTGACTCATTTCAAAACTCATCTCCTAGAATGATTTCTTTTCCTTTTTATCTGAAACCGTTAGATGAGCCGATCTGGATATCATCCAAAGGGCACTTTATATTAGAGATTATTACCCTAACTAGGAAACTTCTTGTCATGTCCGAAGAAGCTTTAGGTTTTCATAAAGGTTGCTGAAAACTCTTCGACAGCCCACGACCGGTTTCACTCTTCTTGGGGCGCAGTCCCCGAGTTTTCGTCAACCTTATGATCTACTTCTACCCGAATTGGACTGCTTTCGAGAAATACACTCATCTGCAAATTAACTTGGTTTTAACGGGAGACTCAATTGAATCTCTCGTTTATGATGTCCTACAGCTGAACGTGCTGCACACAGGCTACCTCATGTTTCAATTGGCACAATATTCGGGATATCGCGGTATATTTTCATGAAGGAAACTACTCACAAGTTTGCTGAATCATGAGGCGGCTTGTGTGCACCACATTCAGTTGGAGGACATCGTAAACGAGAGATTTAATTAAGTCTCCCGTTAAAACCAAATTAATTTGCAGATGAGTGTATTTCTCGAAGCTTTAGGTTCTTTGGGGACAGTGTACATCAGAAGTTCTCAAGTCTATTCAAACCATTGCTTCCAAACTGTATATTTGCTGATAAGAGGGAATTCGTGTTGATGTGAGTCACAGTGGAACTCTACTGAACTATCTTCGTCTGTTGGGGCGTTTTCCGGCCATGAACTGACGACTCTTCATTGTACTCTTAATGTGCACCTGTGTTCTTTGGGTTTCACCTATCTTGATTGAGCCCCTTTTCAAACGCAAACTGGGCACTGTTCAGATCGACGTTCTGCCAGCAGCTAAACATCACTCTCTAAAATTGCGGCTAACCCAATGACGACTGCACCTCTATTACTGACCGATCCACTTGACAAATAAATTTGAGACAGACGGTGATATGAACATCTCAGTGTCAGTGAAATTGTTTTGCCCGGTTGGGGATCTACTAAACTCCGCTGCAGATCCATTTACCACCTGATTTTACAAGGATAGAAAGTGTTTATCGTATATCATAAAAACACGTATTTTGAGATATACTATTCATATCTGTATTTTTCATATATTCCCAGTTCCACTTATAAAAATGTACGGTATGAAGCGGTAATGTGTATAGAACGGAGTGAACCATATACTCCTTGGTGATCATTGGTTTCACTACATTTTTAGTGGGTTTTATCTTCCTCTACCTTCGACATGTGTTTATGAGGATTAGACCGACGCCAAGTCCTGAAACCTGTCGGTTATTCCCATTCCAGGGCGATGAAATACGTTTCCCCAAAACTGATGCATATACGTTGCTCGCCCGAAAATTGTATAAAAGTCACTGGACATTAGAATGCGCATGCGAATTGATGGAAAACCTTCTGGAAAACAAAAGATTTTCTTTTGTGTGGGCATCAGTGGTAATTATCGGCATTCTTATCGTTCCAACAAACTGCATTGTTCGTTCGCCTGTAAGTGAGGTTGACTGCACAGTGCCAGCGAGTAGAACTGTCGAAGTTGATGATGAGGCTAGCAACCCCATGCTGTTATATCACGCAGCCTTTGGATTCGACTTTTCGCCAAAGTCCATAGCAAATCGGAGGCCATTAGAACTCTGATTTCTGGGTGATCCACTCTTAGAACGTCCCGGCTGGGGCGCAAATGGTAAATCATGGTAAGTTACCGAAATGTTGCACGTGAATTTGCCACTGGACAGTGCAGACGCACAACCACCTTTATTAGAACGATAAGTCCAGGTATCCAATTTGTAATATCCCGCATACATTTCGGGTGAAGGTACGAGATGACCTGTGAAAATGCCGGCATATATCAACATGAAGAAGGTCTATTTCAAACCTGAGTCGAATACTCACTTTTCTCTTACCCTTGAACGGATGGGGATAAAAGACCATATGAAGTATTTTTGTAACGCACTACTTATGAGATTACTGAAAATTAGTTGACAACCCACGACCGGTTTCGCCTCTCTTGGGGCTCATCAGGTAGGCACAGTCTCCGAGTTTCCGTCAACCGTATGTTCTACTTGAAGCCAAATTGCACGAAATAAGCGAATATACACTCACTTGCAAAGTAATTTGGTTTTTCGAGAGACTTACCTGGAACCCAGCTGAATCTCTCGATTTTGATGTTTCCATATGAAGTAATCGAAGACAGAAATATCCTGGTGCTCGGTAGTTTCACCGATATGTAAGTTAGCTTGCTTGGTGGTTGGGATTAGCGGAGGCATACAGAATAACAAGCTAAGACAGCAACATCATTGTGACACTGATGCTTCGCTGCCGTATGCTAAGTCATATATAATCATGACAGCCAAGTCGGAACTACGATGCGGTATATCCGCTTTTCAATATGCACAACTATGTGGCCCGTATTGTTTTCAGTGACTATTGTACTTTCTTGTAACGGTTTCAGCTGCGCTTATATCTTAAAGTCGACGTCCAAATAATGTTCGCTACGAATAATACATGCCTATCACGAGAACCACTTGCTGTGCTCTCGGTGAAATGTGAACGAATGGAAAACCCCTAGTTTGCTTCCTGACGGATTCGCTACCATGCACAGACAATGAGACTCTGATATCACTTCTGCTTGTTCGTAGACAGATTATTCTCCACCCAGCTGCGTTTTCCCCTGGGATTGATTTGCTTGAAATGACGATGCAGCCGCCAAATACCCCTTTGCGGTTTTGTTGAAAACACTCCAGTTAGACGTGATTGTCCTCAGTTTACTTCTTTTGCGCTTGGTTATTTGGGAATAGATTATCTCACCCAGGAAACATTCAAAGGAGCGTTCACTGGTAATGCAGTCGCACACATCAAAGTCTCGTCACGCACGGTTCAAAACGCACACATGCCTCACTGATTTTGCTTTGCAAAGGAGTGTATCAGCGGAGCATGCCGTTCACCAAAAATTTCAGTTTGCTGTGTGAAAGTTTGTAATTCGGTTCACATTCCAAAAGTGATTTTCACTGAAACACCACGGTGGAGTTGATTATTGGTACCAGAGTCTGTCTGATAGGGGCGAGATGGCCCAAGTGATTAGAGCGCGAATTTACTGACCTGAAGGTCCGTCGTTCGAATCCGACCTCGGCCACTCGACTTCCCCTGTCTAGGCTTGGGCAACCTGGCAGTATCCCAGCCCTCGTGGTTCCTTCGGGTGGCATGGCAGCTAGGCACCGGAAGGGTGCTACAGCTGAACGCTTTACGCCAGCACCTTCGCCAGCACGCCAAAACGCTAGTGGTATCAATGAACTGTCATTAAACAATATCTGGGTCAAATCCCGGCTATAGACAAAGCAGATGCCCTCGATATTGCCTCTCATTCTCCAGGGCGTTCAGAGTTCATTCTAACACTAACCAGCTCTTGGGGATAGAAAAATAGCGCGGTATCTGTAACACATTATCAATAGTTGGAGTATTAGCTGCTGACCATAAGCCTGTCATAATGGCAATTTCGATATAACGACGGACTGCCTGGCTATCGCATAAAAGCTAGCTTCCGAGCTTATGGAACTACGTTTGTCGGTTTGAAGGTTGAGCTCTTTTAGCACATTATGAAACAGAACTGGCGCATCTCGCGGTAACAGTCTCACCTGTGGTCATCCGTTAATGCTTGAGCATGAATGCTTTAGGACGACTGTTCCCTCCATCGCTCGGCTGTTGGAGCTTGACCTCCAAATTTTTCCTGGGGCTGCCTGGGCAGTACCAAGTGATTGATAAGGAGCCCAGTGCTCGAATATCGAAGGGTAGGATCGCTTTCTAGGGGTTTCGGAAACAAGTCTTGGGCAACCATCATCTGCGAGTGAACATAAAAACCGCGGTGCGCCTTGTTCTTTCATTGTCAACAGTTGTAGAAGAAACTGACATATGGACGGTATACCAACTTACTATTCGAGTACTCCATAACTTCACCTACACTGAAAATTGGGTGTATACAACGGTCAGGCAGAATCCCGAACACTTCAGAGGTCGAAAACATGCGCGATTGAGGGAATCTTACTTCATAACCAGTGGCACTGAGTAGGCTATGTGGAAGGCCCACACCAGACCGTTTTCCCGAATGTCCACTACAATGACAAGATTGAGGGAATCTTACTTCATAACCAGTGACACTGAGTAGGCCATGTGGAAGGCATTGCACCACAGCAGACCGTTTTCTCGAATGTCCACTACAATGACAGCCAAACAGTGCTCTGGTCCCAAATGAACCACAACTATGACAGAGAGACAGACTCCAGGTGAGTTTAAGAAGCACAAATTTCCATTTTGTACCGTTGGTAAATATGTAACTGGTCAGAAGCGAAAGGCCGTACATGTAGGTGCGGCGAATTTTGGGAATCAATGGGTCTTGATACTCGAAAGTAAACGATTGACTCATAAGTCACTCGCGAAGAACTAACCAACATCATCAAATTGATGGTGCTGCTCAACCGGCGGACACGCCGACATGAGAAGAATCGGAACTGCGGAGCACCAGCATCCTCATGATGGATCAGTCTCAAAATGCCGGCGGTTAAGCTGAAGTAAATAAGCTCCTGCTGCACCTGTACCGCCTACTTATCCGTGGCGAACGGATGTGATTGTATGGTAGTAAGTGAAGGGAAGAGTGGTGATTTGGGGAAACTTGGTGTGATTGACGACTGACTATGGATACTCGTTTTTTTATTGCGGAGATAATGCTTACTGATATGCCATCATGTCTGGGCCTACTGGTGTCCATCAACAGGACTCTGCGATCCCCCAGGTCTATATCGGATTCCCAAGCTCACCCCCGAAATTTCTCATTCTGGAGCGCGCAAGCCGTGTGCGTAAGCGTCCAGTAGTCTGATGGGCAAATCTGTATCGGATTGCAGTCAATCACAAGACTTGGTTCAAGTATATTAATAACTGCGAGGGGACGATTATCAGTTATGCACGGATACCAAGATAAGAACAAATCCGACCGGTTTTCTGTCTTTATTAGCGTAAGGCAGATAAGCGTATACACTATGCTGATAACGTGTCCGAAACTCAGTCCGTTACACTCAGTGTGCAAAATCAATCAGATCAAATACATTGACCGAAGGTTGAACACCAGAATCCCTCAAAGAGTAAACAACATTGCTCAGTGTATAATATGGTGGCCGGACAATCGTTTCCGAACCGGCCAATCACATCAAGCGAACACAATGGCCTCCGGCACACAGTGGATAGTTGCACGTGCAGTTTACGCTGAGTCGCTGGACGCATACTACTTGGTGTGAGCCCCAGGAAATAAAAGAAAGGGTGGACCGGAGGGGGACTTCTGAAAGTGTCTCCATGACCAACTGGTGGATCGTAGCATCCGAGTGTGGCGGTTGAGACACCATCCACGCTCAAGGTGCTCCAGTAGCCCGTACCATTCCTAAGACACACTCAGCCACATACGGACAACTACTGCTGGCCACTATACAATGAATTTCGTGCCACGAAGACCACGCAGAATCATCTCTGGCGCTGTTGTAGGCCAAAACCCGCGAATCGTCGAGTGCTAAGGCGAGTCCTTTCCAGACGTACATGTGAAATAAATATATATGTTAATAAAATCAAATCCAAAAAAAAACAGAATGACAGATAGTACAATACTGTTCTGTATGATGAAACAAAATACAGTAGCAAGCAATGAAAAGCGGTAAAAAATTATGATACTATCTATTAGGAGAGCAATGAATTCAAGCAAAACCCGGTAACCCAAGCCTGTGGTTCCCAGTGACGAACCACATGTGAACGCATAGTTTACACGGAGCCGGATGTGGAGCTCTGCGCAAATCTACCTGTGTTACCAAATCAAGATACCAGCAAAGGTTCGTCATCAACTGAAAAACAAGACCAAAACGTCGAGAAATACACTCGTTTGCAAATCCGTTTGGTTTTTACGAGGACTCAAATGAATCTCTCATTTATGATATTCTTCAACTGAATGTGCTGCACACAGGTCGCCTTTATGAAAATGCCAAAACTTTGTTTCTTTGATAGTCAATGGAAATCACAAAATCAAGAATTGCGCTGTTCAACCCTTAATCACCGGTTAAACTCTCTCGCCAGTACATAGCTAGAGCAAAACTGATAACACGTGAATATGACCACGAATGTGCACACAGTTAGGGATCAGACACCCCAGGAATTCAGATTGATCCACTGTCCCCGTGATACTCGCGTGCGAGGAATCATAATCAAGCAACCGCTCGGTCGAATGGGGAGCTGTATTGCTCTGAAAGCCGAATTAATCCAATTAGAACACTATTATCTGGATTAGGCGTTCGGTGCCTGTGTGAAACGACACCTGTGAACACAAGAGCTACCAGCCCGTACAAGCAATCTAAGCATGTATACCCCTCACAAAAAATCAATGTCCGATTTTTACACGTTGTTAAAAATGGATTTGATACACGTTTGTTTTACTCAGATTCAAGGAAAGCGTCGTAACATAGTTTATATCGCGAGAAGTAACTCGAGTGTACTCACCTCAAGTGGCCGACCTGAGTAAGTGTTCTTCAAACTATCTGCCTATCTGGATAGACAAAATGGATCAGATCCCTCTCCTATATATCGTTGAATTTCCAGTGAAGCACAAGTTCTCAACTATCCACTGTCCCGAATTACGACGGTTGTGCTAACGACACATCTGGATTGTTTTTTTTTTCAAAAAAAGAATTAAAATCGTTCGAAGGAATGTCGAATCATAGTTTAGCTCAATAAGATCTGGATCCAATTTAAGACGAATAAGAAATGACTCATGCACCAACGGAGGACAAGTGTTCTATGCAAGTAGCGAAACAAGAATGAAAGAATAGGAAGTCGTGTCAGAAGTACCATCCGAACTGTTTCTAAATTCGAAGTGTCGATTACTTGAATAGCAGACCCAAGATGAAACCATAATCGAACTAAACGTCGGCAGCGTCGTTTTCTGGCTGTTGAAATGTTCTGAAAGTACCATGAAAACAAGTCACAGTGACAAAATGACACGGTCACTGTCTTAAGATTGCTCACGTTCTTCTTGGGGTTGACAAAACGAACGGCAGACCCTTTATAATTCATGGAAAAGGTGTTTGCTGGCATCTCCCTGTGAACAATTAAGCTCTCACTACTTACGGTCCTCGTAGGGGACTTGAAAAAAGCTAACAACGTGTGCATCCGCAATCCCTCGATTGTATCATCCTAATTTACTCACGGTACATTTAGTTGAAATTCTCCGCGAACAGCAAAGACCTCCGCAGATGAGTCGTAAACAGAACCAATCGATTGTTATTTTGGGGACTGAATACCCACACTGAATGCACTCAAAGGCACCCGGTCCAATTCGGATTACCCTTGTACGGGTAGAACTTGGTTCATTTGATAAAGGAAACTACTCACAATATTGCTTGGAACTCTTAAAATCTGTAACCTTGTGAGTAGTTTCCTTTATGAAAATGTACTGCGATATCTCGAATAACGTACCAACTGAAACATGATGCGGCTCTTGAGCAGCACATTCAGTTGGAGAATACATAAACGAAAGACTCAGTTGAGTATCTCGTGGAAACCAAATTGATTTGCAAATGTGTTTCTCGTTGGTTCATTTCACTTTGGCCGACGGCTAAACTGTCAGCAGCGAAACTGTCAGCTGCCGACAAAATAGCTGTCTTGTTTCTACCTGAGGAGTGCTCTGCAAATCGTCGTCAAAGAGATCAATTCGACAAAATTAAGGATTCATATAATAAGGATTTCCCTGCTTCACAGACGGTGGTTCCTTGGAAGGAACGAGTGCTTCATATGCGGCAAAAACAGGATTGTCAAAACCTTTTTGAGTGGCTTTATCTATAGCATCATTTAAGCGAATAACCCCGCTACGACTACTGACCCGGTTGGTCGGGATTGATGGCTCCAAAGGGGTTTGCTGCAGAAGGTGCGTCTAGTGTTTGTGGTTCCCCTCTTAATTTGAGAGCGTTCAGTGGTTAAGGTGCCAGCTTACGGACCGGAAGGTCCGTGGTCCGAACCCAAACTACGCATCTCGACAACTCCTGTCTAGGCTTGAGCAAACTGGCAGTACCTCAGCCCTCGTGCTTCCTTCGGGTAGCATGGCAGCAAGATACGGCAAGGGTACTACAGCTGAACGTAGGGATAAATTGGCCCTGGTTACGCCAGTGAGAACGTTGGGCTTCGGCCAGTACCTAGCGATATTCATCATCATCATGACATCAATGTTCAACACCGATGCTTCACTGCCGTACAACCATGATCTATTTGAAAGCCTTATAGTGAAGAAAAGAATGGAGGTAGACGGGGGAAGCAAGATGTTCACACAAATGTCCAAAAAAAACCTAAGCTTTTGTTCAAAACATCATGGTCTGGTAACCTAATTAATTCCTTGGCCCGTCAGCAAGCGCAAAGTGCACAAATACGAGTAGTTCCACGACGCACCGATCGCAGTACGACATGCAGTTTTCCTTGCCGCATACACCAAACGGGTGTCGATACCACCATTTATTTATTTATTATTTCTGAACCCTCTCGTTCTCCCTGTTTACGCGTCATTCGTAGGTTCATCCCAGCTGTGGGA